TCTGTTATTCGTACGTATCTATTTTTATAAACGAGAAGCCCTGATGTTGCAGTGGTTAAGTGCTCAGCTGCTAACCAAAACGTCAGTGGTTCGAACCCACCAACCACTCCACAGGAGAAAGATGTGGCAGTCTACTTCTGTAAAGATTACAGCCTTGGAAACCCTATGAGGTAGTTCTACTCTGTCCTATAGAGTCACCATGAGTCGGAATCGACTCAATGGCAACAGGTTTTTTTTGGTTTGGTATTCTTAAAACATCAAGAAATTTATATCTACCATCATCTCTCAGCACCTAGCAAAAAGCCTGATACTTAATAAATGTTAGTTGGATGAATTATCAGATTACAGTTATGGAAAAAAATAAATTACCCTGTGCTTTCATTACTGTAATTGGTGATCAGGAGGTGATGTTTCAACAAATTAATAGGTAGGTCTCCAACCACCTGATCATGGCCAGTACAGAAGAGCAAGATGAGGTGGGGCTCTCACAGGTAAAAAAACTTCTTGAGCCAGCAATGTCTAGTCCCATCCACACAGACCCACCCCACCAGGTTCATGACCACCCAGTCCCACTCCTTACCATGTCCTTGCCTCCCCTGCTCTTCAGGTCCTGGATCTCAGCCATGAGTCTCTGCAGCTCCTGGCATGTGTACTTGTACAGCTCATAGTCTCTGCCAGGGTCCCGCAGGTCCACCTCTGCCTCCTCACTGTAGTATTTACCTTCCTGTAGAGGCAAGGAGAGAGGTCCTTGGTGGTGGGTGAGTCTCTCTGTTGGGACCACAGACACTTAGCTGATATCTCTTCTTACATAAGAACAGTAACAATGAAGCTCCAAATCACGTCTCCAAAGGATATGGTCCTTGAATCAAATATTTTTCTTCTTTTCAGAATGGAAAGGTTTTTCCGTTTCTGATTATAAAACTAATGCATGCTTGGTGTCAAAGATTCAGAACATACAAAGAAGTATCAAAAAGAAAACAAAAAATTACCTGTAACCTCGTAGCCTGAAACAACTCTATTATTAATATTGTGAGGTAAACACACATTTTATTTTTAAGCACAATGGGATCATACTGTCCATGCTGGTTACTATGATTTCCCATCCCAATAAATATAGATCTCCATCAAAATGGCGACATGACAGTCCACTGTATTGTTAAGCCAGAATTTATCTAACCAAATTCCTACTGATGGGTGTTGAGGCTGTCAAATGAAGTTTCAGCAGAGACTGAAATACCTCTCAGCCTTCACAAATAGAAAACATGAGACTTCAGTGGAAGCCAGAATCAATGGCTAAAAAGGATGATGCTCTGCATTTAAGCTTAAGTTCCTAAAACTGAGGAAAGCATCACTTTTTATTTAAATTTATGCTGGTATACTTCCCTGCTCTAGTTAAAAACAAAACAAACAAAACACCCAACCACCCAATCAAAACAGCTAAAATCATAAATTAGCTTGACAGATTCTAGGACAGAGAAATAGACAAAAGGAAGAGAAGAGCCTGATGACCACATGGGCTCTCAGATCACAGAAGAGGTTCTGTGGGCAGGTGGTTCTGGTACTGTCTCAGCAGCCAACCCAGGTACACAACATCTCTGAAGCCCCAATGGTGTGCTGCAGACGGACTGCCTTCTTCAGACCATCAGGAAAACGGCAGAAACACACTGCACTGGACATACGTTCTCTGTTCAGGCACTGTTGTTGTTCTTGGGTAATGTCGAGTCAATTTCAACTCACAGCAACCACATGTGGCAGGGTAGAACCGCCCCATAGGGTTTTGGCTATGATCTTTTTCTCCTTTTTTTGCTTTTATTATTTTTTTTTTTTTGTTTATTGTCGTAGTTTAAATGAAGTTTACATTTCAAGTTAGTCTCTCATACAAAAATTTATACATACATTGTTACGTGACCCTAATTGCTCACCCCATACTGTGACAGCACACTTCTCCTTTCCACCCAATGCCCCATGTCCATTCAACCAGCTCCTAACCCTCTCTGCCTTCCCATATCACCTCTGGACAGAAGCTGCCCGTTTAGTCTCTTGTATCTACTTGAGCTAAGAGGCACACTCCTCACAAGTATCACTTTATGTCCCACAGTCCAGTCCAATCCCTGTCTGAAGAGTCAGCCTCGGAAACTGTTTAGTTCTGGGCTGACAAAAATTTGGGGGCCACACTTTTTGGGGTTCCTCCAGTCTCATTTAGACCATTAAGTCTGGTCTTCATACTAGAATTTGAGTTCTGCACCCCACCTTTGTCCTGCTCCAACCAGGACTCTCTGTTGTGTTCCCTGTGAGGGCCGGTCACTGGTGGTTGCCAGGCACCATCAAGTTCTTCTGGTCTCAGGCTGATGAAGTCTCTGGTTTATGTGGCCCTTTCTTGGCTGTGATCTTACGGGAGCAGATCACCAGGTCTTTCTCCTGTGGAACTGCTGGGTGGGTTCAAACCACTAATCTTTTAGTTAACAGGGGAGCGCTTAACCATTAGGCCACCAAGGCTCCTTGTTCAGGTGTTAATCATGTCTAACATAAGCTTGTTAGTCAGTTCTTGGATTGCTGCAGCTAAAGCTGATGTAGACACTCCAGGTTTTGTACAGCCAAAGGAATTCCAATTCCCTGGCCAAGCAGAGGCCACCTGGGAAGTTGTTACCTGGTACAGGCAACCTTGAACTGCCACAAACCCACAGCTGGGGGCTTGGCCACAAGCTGCAATTTCTCAGTGGCACAGCATCCCTGGCTGATCTTACCTGCTCAGTGTCAGATCGATTCCGCTTCCCTTCAGCTGGGGCTCCGTCACTTCGGATCACTTTGGGCTTCCGTTTTTTGCTTGATTCTGATGACATGGTTGTTTAGCAAGGTCAGGAGGAAACAGTAGAGACCTGTTAAGCGGAGAAAGCTTGTGAGATTTTCTGGAATCAGATTGAAGATTTTTCTTAAGTCAGAAAACTGAAGTCTAACTAGCAGCCTGCCACATACAGACTTGATAACTCAAGAAAAGTTACTTAACCCTCCAAAGCCTCTGTTTCCTCATCTGTAAAAATGGGAACCATCACTCAGCCTGTCCAAAATGAACTCATCTCTCCACCTCTGCCTCCTTTAAAAGCACAACCACTCACACCACTGTCCAAACTGACCTTACAATCACCTTCAATCACTCCCTCCCCCACGTCCACATCCTTATCACACTCTATCCACAGAAGTGTCCCTTCATTCAGGTGTTCACCCAGTGATCCCAGGCATCATGCATCTTCTTCATCTCAACACTCTAGGTCAGGCCCTGTCCTAATCAATCTGTCATCAACACTTACCTATTGAGGGAGCCAATAAGTCAGAGAGTCCTGAGTTGGAGTCTCCGCTCTACTATTTTATGGCTACCAAACCTGGGATAAGTTACTTAACTTTTCTCTGGGTTTGCAAATGAGAATAACAGTCCCTACCTGAGGTGGGTATTGGGGCTGAAGATGATCTGGGACGGGGCATGTGATTTTAAATGGTTAATGGATGATCTTAAATAATGCTAAACACCTACGGAGAAAGTTAATCAATTTTCAATTGTTTTTCAAACTTGCCGATTACTTCAAGGAAAACATCTCAGTTCACCTAGTTTGTCTTTAACGTCTGTGAATGCTAATATTCCCTTGTAAATAAAAGGCTCTTTGCACGAGCCTTAGATAGACAACGAAATCTAGTCAGAATATTAACAGTGATCTGCTTTCACAATATTCAATATGTTTTAGCATTACCATCCACATACAACAAGTGATAGCCGTTTTCATTTACGGTAACTTAAAAGTTTCCTTTTAAAATAAATTTAAGTTTAAAAAAAAATCAGCTAAAACCCTTTAGTAAGGAATCTACAGATGCTAAGTTGTTTTGGCAAAACCCAAAAAGGAGACCCAAAGGCCGAATCTTGACTTTAACAACACAGGTAAAAAGTGCCCGACACATGAGCGCTCAAAAAATGCGAGCAGTTACCACCATCATCGTCGTCGTCATTACAAAGCTATAACGCGGGCCCTGAGGAGCCGGCAGCGAACGTTTTTATCATTGTTTTCATGGTCATTTGGTGGCTACAACATGGACCCTGAGAATTATTATACAGCGAACATTTTACAGATGAGGAAACTAAGCGCGGGGTGCCTAGGGGGGAAATAGGAGAACCCGGGTCAGAACAGCCCCGGGGTGCCCTTCGGACTTTCGGCATTTCTGTTCTGGAACACCTGGCTCCGCCCCCGCTCCGCGCCCGCCCTGCCGACCGGGTCCCCTCCTCACCTCACCGCGCTGCGAACTCGTTCCCGCAGAAGAGCCACTTCCGCTGGCGCACCATAGAGAAGCGGAAAGAAAGAATGGCCGGCCGGAAGCGAGGCGCGGAAGCTGGAAGCAAAGCGCAGTGCCCCCCAGCGACCGCCGGGGCGTGGTGCGTGAAGCGTCTGAGCGGCCCGGGAGCGGGAGGCGGCTGCACCTGGGTTGTGGGGGAGAGTCTCAGCCGGTCAACATCCCCAACCCCCAACGCTGCCCTCTGAGACCGGGAAACTGAGGCCGTTAAGGCAAAAACTTAGGTGCTTCGTGCACTCTCCCTAGGGCCTACAAGTGGTGCCCAGCAACTCATGGGTGCTTCACAAGTGTTTGTTGAGTGAATAAAGTTGTCATATGCTGAAGATCACACAAGAACGAGGTAGTGCCAAGATTTAGACCCCAGCGGATTTGCCTTCAAAACATGGCTTCTGTCACATTCAGAACTCCAAGGCACACAGTGAGGGCATTAACCCCATTTTACACTTGTTTTTTCACAGGTGCATCACTAGTTTCCCCATTTTTAGCACCAATTTACCTAGGATAGTCACAGCTCTAATGCAGTATTCGACAACTTCAAGTGATTCCTAGCCCTGGCATGAACTGTACAGACAGGGCCCATGATTTTTACAGTAAATCCTACTTATCTGTGCCTAGAAACACCCATGTCCTGAATCCCTAGTTGTACACCACCAGTTCCTTCTCCTACCCCGGGGTGAGGCTGAAGATGGCCTGCCTGATAGTGGCTCAGGAAACACAAAGCCCTTCAGGGGGATAGATCAGCCAGGTGCGACTAGGAAGTTGGCCAGCTCTCCCTTCCCTCCGGCATTTGCCAGTTTCTTGCAGATGAAAAAAAACAAAAACACGAAGTTTACAGTAAATATTTAATTAGTTCCATCAGCAACTCCAGTACAAGTTTTTCTGGAAGAGAGGCAGAATCAAGCTACCAAGGGGTTCATGAGGTGTGAGGTTCACAGAGGGGGCTCCCAGAACTACTGACCCCACTCTATATATCCAGTAAACTGAGGGTTGAGCTAATGGAATGTGGAGTAGGGGAGAAGGAATGCCAGTGGGGGAAACATAGGCCCTGCTTTTGTCCCTCTGCCTGCAGCAGGGAGGGGGGTGGGAGACACTGTCCCTGCACAGAAGGGCTGGAACTACACATTCAAGTTCTCAACTCCATTACTTAGAGAGAAACAAATTAATTTCTCCCCATCCGTCTTGTATTAGAATTCCTCCCCAAGTGGTCTTCAGTCATCTCTATTCTATCTTCCTAATTCTGGATTCCAAATTCTGTGATTCAAACCCAGGTTGGCCTTCTTGGTTCCCTGATCCACGTTCTGTCTCTTGTCCCCAAATCTTTCCCAGCCCCCATCCCTTCTCCCAGCCTCTCGCCGTGGAATGTCCTGACTTCCTCCTGATCTTGTTGATATGAGAGTTTTTGGCAGTTCCAGGCTTGTCCCCAGCAGGAGGGACTTGGCTCAGACTGTCCAGCAAGAGGGTGGCCTAGTGGAGGCCAGGGAGCTCCTGAGGACCTGGCGTGATCCCAACCACCTCCCTTCCCACCCCACTACTAGCCACTGGACACACTACCTTTTGTGCAGCTAAAGTGAAATGGGGATTTCTGTGGTGATAACTAGGGGCTGGGGGCCTTCAGCTGAGGAATCTTAGGGGAAGATGTGGGAAGACGTGAAAGGCTGCTATTCTGTCAGTGAAACGAGAAACTGTTTCCAGCAGGAATGGAAGGAGGAGGGCAGGGAAGGCAGGCAGGGTCTGTGCAGAGCTGCAAATCCTCAGACCCTATCATCCGTCAGCACCTCCTTGCCTGAGCTGAGCACCACCCCCAAGGCTCCTGCAGATCTAAGAAGAAACCGTTCGAGCAGGACCAGGAGCTTCTCTAACCGTGGCTAACCTGAAGGAGAAGGGGAGGGAGGTGGAGGCAGCATCACTGGAGAGGCGAGATCTTCAAGGGGATCATGATCCGAGACTCCATGTGTCGCACCAAGGGGACTGCAGAGAAAGAGGCAGAGGTCATAGAGGGCAGCCTCCCTCACTGGCCTTTGGAGGGGGAGGAGGCTCCAAATGGGGCTAAGCCAGGAAAGCCCCGCTGTCCTCCTGGAAGGGCCCATGAAGAGGGTCAGGTTCCCAACATTGTGGGAGAAGAGGGGACTTAGGTGGTAACAGAGTCCTGGGTGGTACAAACAGTTAAAGCGCTTGGCTGCTAACCAAAAGGTTGGTGGTTCAAGGCTACACAGAAGCACCTTGAAAGAAAAATCTGGTGATCTATTTCTGTAAAATCAGCCATGGAAAACCCTATGGAGCACAGTTCTACTCTGACACACATGGGGTGGCCAAGAGCTGGAATCGACTAGACAGCAACTGGTGGTTTTTTTAGGTGGTAATGAGTTAAACATTTTAAAATTTTAACAATTACATATTTATTTTCCTGTGTACATGAAAAAAATAACTAGCATACTGAAAAGTGACTTCACAGATATTATTGTGAAAATTTTTTTTTAACAAAAGGCTGAGAACCAAAAAAACCAAACCAAACCTGTTGCCATCGAGTCGATTCCAACTCATAGCGACCCTATAGAACAGAGCAGAACTGCTCCACAGGGTTTCCAAGGTGGATTCAAACTGCTGACCTTTTGGTTAGCAGGTGAGCTCTTAACCACTGTACCACCAGGGCTTCAGGTTAAGAACAAAGAAAGATATTTTAAAAAGAAAAATATCAAGAAAATAATTGTGGCAAGAGTATGCTGATGGGGCAAGCTGTGAGGGTGTCCTCAAGTGGCTGAGGTTTGAAAAACACTGATTTAGTCCAACTGCCTCATTTAACAGATGGGAAAACTGCAGCCCAGAGAGGGTCACAAACAGCCCAGGGTCACCCAGGAAGTCAGACCCTTCCTCCTGCTCAGAGCTTCTCAAATTTACACATGTATACGAAATCACCAGGCATGTCCAAGGTCACATGGCTCTTGTTAAAGTGCAGATTCTGAGCCACTAGGTCCGGGACGGCCTGAGATTCTGCACTTCTAACAAGCTTCCAGGGGATGCCGATACTGTCCACTGGGAACACGCTTTGAGTAGCCAGGCTCCCGCTGACTCCTTCAGCAAACACATCCTCTCCTCACACCAGCTGGCATCTGAAAGCTCCTTAAGGTCCGGGAGAGGCTCTTGTTCTTTTCTGTGTTCTCCACCCACCTGCCCACCATAGTTCTTGGCCCATGGCAAAAGCTCAATCAACACCTACTGATTCCAGGTGGTTCTCAGGGGTTAACAGCAAAGTGGCAAACTCCTTGGGCAAAAACAACAGGCCCCATTTGTGGCATGCTCCCTCTGGCCAGACCCCAGCCAAAGCACTTTTTGTGGATTAGCTCCAGGAATTCTCCCTATAGCTCTGAGGGAGGCACTATCACCATCCCCATCTTACAGGGGAGGCAACAGCCTGGCGAGGTGAAGAGCCATGTCCGAGGTCACGGTGTGTGCTCAGCTACTCCACATCTCTGAGGCAGGGATTGCCTGGCTGCCTTATCATCCCCCAAAACACTCACCCAGGAAAGCCTGGATCACATGGAACATGCCACCAGGATAGAAGCTCACTAACTCCATGTTCCTCATCACTGGAGATAATCAAGTGAGGCTAGACCTCCATGCAGAAGGGATTCCATCCTCAGACAGGGCTTCTGACAGAGGAACAAGGGCCCCACAGACTCCCAGAGGCAGCCCTCACCTGTATAGTAGACGTTCTCGTCCCAGCCCCTCTTCCTCCAGGCAGCATTTCGAGTCTCCTCTCGAGACTGAAGGTCTTTATAGGCTGTGGGAGAGGCAAATGCTCATTCCCCGGGGACAGATGATCTGATCCCATGTCCAGCAGGGGCCCTCCTCTCACTGTCCTAAACCCTGCCCTGCCATCTCCTCCCCAGATGCCTTGGGCTGATAGCATAACCCATCTCCTTTGACAATCTCATTCAGATAGTAAATATGCTGACAACTCCCAAATTTATATTTCCAGCATGGACCTCTCCCTCGGGCTCCAGACTCGTATATCCAATGCCCACGTGATGTCTCCATTTGGATGTGCCAGCGTCTCAAATAGAACACTTCCGAGGGCCACTTAACTCCTGAGCCTCCAATCCATTCCTCTCTTTGATGTCCCCATCTCAGTAAGTGACAGCAGTATTCACACAGTGGCTCAAGCAGCAGCCTGGGAGTTCTGGAATCCTCCTCTCCCTCCCTTGCCCCACACAGCCACTTCATCCACAAGCCCCATTGGTTCTACCTCCAGACGAATCTGTGGCCTCTCATCATGCTCACTGCCACCACCTTGGGCCACGCCATCATCCCCTCTCACCTGCACTAGTCTTATGGTCTCCTGATCACCCACTTCCTCTCCTGCTCCCCTACAAACCACTCTCCACACGGCAGCCAGAGGAATCATATTAGAACATAAATCAAATTGTGTTGCTGCTGCTTAAAATGCTCCAGCAGCTTCCTACCGTGTTTAGAAAAAAATCCCATCTCCTTCTCATGGTCTCTGAGGCCCAGCCTGATCTGCCCCTATCCCCCTCTCCTACCCCATCTCCTTGCACTCTCCACATCGACCTCCTTTCTGCTCCTCAAAACCCTGAAGACCTTTCCCTGCTGCAGGGCCTTTGCATGTGCTGTTCCCTCCACTTGGAATGCCCTACCCCAACAATTCACCACTGGCTCCTTCTCATCTTTTAGCTCTGTTTTTACAATTTACCCCCTCAGAGAGGCTGCCTTTGCCCACCCAAGCCAAGGGTTTTCTTCCATCGCATCTCCCTATTTCTTTTCCGCAAGGCATTTTGTAATAACCTGAAATGATCTTTCTTGTTAGTTCATGTCTGAGGTGATCTCCCCTCTGCTATAATGTCAGCTCCATGAAGCCACCAGTGTATCCCCACTGTCCACAGAGTGTCAATGGAAGAACAGGGACTAGCATGGGCTTCCAGAGGGTCCCCAGCCTACCCCAGAGATGGTGCACAACGTAGAGCTCTCCTATCTGCGAGAAGAAGCCGCCCACCGCCTCCTGGTTCTCTTGCCGGTACTTGATGGCCCGGGCCCTGGGGACAGCAGGAGTACGCTGGGCAGAGGCCAGGACTCTGGGGGAGGCCGGGGAATCCAGCCTGTGCAAAGGGCTCCCTGATGTGTACCCAGGCAGATGCCTTAGCCACATCTCACGGGGAGATATGGCCACCAGCTGGCAGAGATGATTCAGGAAATCGGGTGATGGAGCGGCAGCCACTGGCTGTGTTCTCCCACTGGAGGCCTCACAAACCTCCAGGAGATCCTCACCTCCTCCTTGGACATCCTTCTCCCAGGTCCAGGAGGGGCAGAGGATGCTGGGTTCCCTGCGATATGGCCCTGGGTAAGGTGGCCCACCAGGACCCTTGGCTGAGGCAGGATGGGCAGGGTCCCCCCACCCTAGTGCTAATACCACCACTCACCAGTTGTTCCCCCACTCGATCATGGTTCCTGGCTGAAAGAGAGGCAGAGAAAGGATGGGAATGAGCCCCATCTTGGAGCCTCACCTTGGATCCTCCCAGCGTCACAGTTCCCAGGGGCTGCTCAGCCTCATTCAGGCCCTGACTTGCACTTGGGTGTGCACATGTGGACAGGCGTGTACACACCTCTGTTCTGAGCCTGCAGAGAGGGTGAGGCCAGAAGGCCCAGCCTAGGTGCTGGGGCCCAGGGCCCACCGCGGTGCAGCTGCAAAGCAGCAGTGCAGCAGAGAAGGTGGGAGGCAGACAGGGCTCTGTTAAGAGGAAGGCACCTTGAGTTTGTACGTCCTCAGCTCATAGATGTTGGGACCTGCTCGGGGCTGTGGCTCGTTCCAGAAGCTGAACTCAAGGAGCAACTGGTTTCTCCTGGACTGCAGCATCTGGCTCCGCTCCTTCCGGAACTCCAGGTACTCCTGTGGGCACAACAGTGTGGGCACGGCAGTCAGGAAGTATCCCCACCCTAACAGTGTGCCTCATGGGGTGATGGAGGCAGACCCCAGCACAGGGCTGGGCTACAGCCAACATCCAGAGAGGTTCGCTGTGTGGAGGATGGCTTGGCCAGATGCCAGCATACCTTGTTGTTTTTGAGCTTGTTCATGCAGTCCATGAGGGCTGGGTAGCCGCCAGAGAATCGCCATAGGTGCACTGTCAAGGGGTGGGAAAGGCAGGTCAGAGGGCTGCTGGGACCCCACCCTGCTTATCCCAAGGCTGGAAAAGTGCATATGTAACGGGGGTGGGGGGGTCCCCAGCCTAGTTTCCTCTAGCATCAAGGCTCTCTGAGTTTCCTGTCTTGGTGAAGGACGGCACTGGACAGGAGGTCCAAGAGACCTGGGTTCAGCCTTTGACCCCTTATGCCTCAATGCCTTCATCTTGAAAATGGAGTAGTACTTCCACCGAACCTTCCTTCAGTAGCAAGCAAGAGGATATCAGATGTGTTTCCCCAGGAGCAGCAGCGAGCACAAGGTTGGATAAAAGGAGGGGGCAGGTCTGATGAGTTGATATGGAACGCTCTCCAGGACAGCAAATTAAAAAACAAAACAAAGAAACCAAGGAACAGAACAGCATGCACAGTAGACTGCCCCATGGGTTTAAAGGCCGGCGGGGGAGGGGGGGCGGGGAGGGCAGCGGGTGGTGAGAGGACGTATCCAGAGATGCTGTCTACGCACCATCTCGAGGCAACCTCCAGAGATCATGAAAGTAGACGCTTCTGAACAGAGCACTGAGGTCTGGGGCCATAGGTGGGAGGGAGGCTTACTTCTCACTGCAAACTCTTTGCACAGTTTGGGTTTTTTTTATCGCATCCTTCCAATAAAGTTGTTGTTAGCTGCCGTCAAGTCAGTCCCTGACTCCTGGCAACCCCATGCACAAAAGAACAAAATGCAGCCCAGTCCTACTCCATCCCCATGATCGGTTGTGGATCAGACTGTGTGACCCATGGGATTTTCATTGGCTGACTTTCAGAAGTAGATCCGCAGGCCTTTCTTCCTAGTCCGTCTTAATCCGGAAGGTCTGCTAAAGCCTGTTTAGTATCATAGCAACATGCAAGCTTCCACTGACAGACAGGTGGTGGCTATGCATCAGGTGCACTGGCTGGAATCGAAACCAGGTCTCCCGCGTGGAAGACATAAATTCTACCAGTGAACCACCACTGCCACCCATAAAGAAACCTAGTTCTGGAGAAGAAAGTCAACAATTTTGCCATCCTGGGAGCATGGCTGGGCCCATCAGAGAAGGACGGTCTCCAAAGGGTCAGCTAGGCAGGCTGGAGCTATGGGCACTAGCTGACCAGCAGTTGTCAAAGAAAGCATAGATTCTGTTACTTCCAGTCTCCAGCCTGCCCCACCTGCCTTTTGACTCCATCTGTGCCTTGATTTTTCACCTACAAAATGGCCTGAGCCTACACTGTAAGGGCCTCTTTCACAAGCAAATAGCAAAAGCACTATATAGATGAAAGTCCGCCAAAACCAGAAATGCTGACCTGTGGAAGAGGGGTTCACTCATACAGTGAGACCATTAGGTAAAGTTACAAGGAGGACAGCAGAGACTCAAAAGAAAAATTTTCTAATGATTATTTGTGGTTGTCATGGGCCGTCAAGTTGATTCCGACTCATAGCAACCCTACAGGACAGAGGAGAACTGCCCCATACAGCTTCCTAGGCTGAACTCTTTACAGAAGCAGATTGCCAGGTCTTTTCTCCTGTGGAGTCGCTGGTAGGTTCAAACCACAGACCTTCTGGCTAGCAGCTGAGCGCTTAACCACTGTACCACCAGGGCTCCCTCTAATGATTTTAGTGGTTCCTATAGAAGACGGGTCAGTGGTTCTTACAAAGTCATTACAATGCAGATTTCTGAGCTCCTAGGGTACAGCTCAGAGGGTCTGCTCCTGCTGATTCTAATACAGATTCTCCAGGGGCCTACACTTTGAGACACACAAAATATAAGATATACTTTAAAGATTCAGAATCCCACCCCTCAAAGTACATTTCACAGGTAGCGAACACTTTAAGAGAATCCAAGGAGTACTGCTAGAGCATATTAAGTCATACCTAAAACAAACATAGAGGAGCTAAAACAAAACGAAGAAATGATGAAATAAAAGAACTGAACAGATGATTTCAAAGAGTGACTCAAGAAGACAAAGTAAAGTATTATAACGAAATGTGCAAAGACCTGGAGATAGAAAACCAAAAGGGAAGAACATGCCCTGCATTTCTCAAGCTGAAAGAACTGAAGAAAAAATTCAAGCCTCAAGTTGTAATATTGAAGGATTCTACAGGGAAAATATTAAACAACGCAGGAAGCATCAAAAGATGGAGGAAATACACAGAGTCACTGCACCAAAAAGAACTGGTGAACGTTCAACCATTTCAGGAGATAGCATATGATCAAGAACCAATGGTACTGAAGGAAGAGGTCCAAGCTGCACTGAAAGCACTGGCAAAAAAACAAGGCTCCGGGAATTGATGGAATACCAACTGAGATGTTTCAACAAAGGGATGCAATGCTGGAAACAATCACTCACCTATGCCAAGAAATCTGAAAGACAACTACCTAACTGACTGGAAGAGATCCAATAGAATGTGGAAATTATCAAACAATATCATTAATATTACACACAAGCAAAATTTTTCTGAAGATCATTCAAAAGCAGTTGCAGCAGTACATCGACAGGGAACCACCAGAAATTCAAGCCAGATTCAGATGATGTGGAACAAGGGATATCATTGCTGATGATAGACGAACCCTTGCTGAAAGCAGAGAATACCAGAAAGATGTTTACCTGTGTTTCAGTGACTATGCAAAGGCATTTGACTGTGTGGATCATAACAAACTATGGATAACGTTGCAAAGAATGGGGATTCCAGAACACTTAATTGTGTTCATGAGGAACCCGTACTTAGAGCAAGAGGCAGTCCTTCAAACAGAACAAGGGGATACTGCGTGGTTTAAAGTCAGGAAAGGTGTGCATCAAGGTTGTATCCTTTCACCATACTTATTCAATCTGTATGCTGAGCAAATAATCCAAGAAGCTGGACTGTATGAAGAAGAACGGGGCGTCAGGATTGGAGGAAGACTCAATGACCTGTGATATGCAGATGACACAACCCTGCTTGCTGAAAGTGAAGAAGATTTGAAGCACTTACTGATGGATTACACCTCAACATAAAGAAAACAAACATCCTCACAGCTGGACCAATAAGCAACATCATGATAAATGGAGAAAAGGATTTCATTTTACTTGGATCCACAATCAATGCCCATGGAAGCAGCAGTCAAGAAACCAAACGAAGCAGTGCATTGGGCAAATCTGCTGCAAAAGATCTCTTTAAAGTATTCAAAAGAAAAGACGTCACCTTGAGGACTAAGGTGTGCCTGACTCAAGCCACAGTGTTTTCAATCACCTCATATGCATGTGAAAGCTGGACAATGAATAAGGAAGCCTGAGAATTGATGCGTTTGAATTATGGTGTTGGCGAAGAGTATTGAATATACTATGGATTGCCAGAAGAACGAACAAATCTGTCTTGGAAGAAGTACAGCCAGAATGCTCTTTAGAAGCAAGGATGGCGAGACTTCATCTCAAATACTTTGGACATGTTATCAGGAAGAACCAGTCCCTGGAGAAGTACATCATACTTGGTAAAGTAGAGGGTCAGTGAAAAAGAGGGAGACCCTCCATGATATGGACTGACACAGTGGATGCAACCATGGGCTCAAGCATAACATTTGTGAGGATGGCACACGACCCGGCAGTGTTTCGTTCTGCTGCACAGAGGGTCACAATGAGTGGGAATCCACTTGATGGCAACTAACAACAAAATGGGAAAACTGAAGACAGTGTGCTTTTTCCTTAACCCCCGTATTGATGTGTCAAAGTCTGTTACTGCAACAGGATGAATGATAAGGGAATCTATCTATCGGAGCCCTGGTGGTGCAGCAGTTAAGAGCTCAGCTGCTAACCACAAGGTTGGCAGTTGGAATCCACCAGCCGCTCCTTGGAAACCCTATGGGGCAGTTCTACTGTTTTTAGGGTTGCTATGACCCGGAATTGACTCAATGGCAATGGGTTTGGTTTTTTTTTGTTTGATCTGTCTATCTGCACGTCTCACCACCCGTCTGTCGGTTTGTCGTAGTGTGGCGGCTTACATGTTGCTATGATGTTAGAAGATCTGCCACTGGTATTTCAAATACCAGCAAGGTCACCCATGATAGACAAGTTTTAGTAGAGCTTCCAGACTAAGACACACTAGGAAGAAAGGCCTGGCAATCTACTTCCAAAAATTAGCTAACGAAAACCTTACAGATCAGAATAGAATATTGTCTGATATTGCTGGAAGATGAGCCCCCTAGGTTGGAATGGAACAATGGCCTCAAGCATGCTGGCGATCATGAGGATGGCATGCAACAGGGCAGTGTTTTGCTCTCAGTGGCAACTAACAATGACAAGAACAACAACATCTGCAGGTCACTTTTTTTTTTAAGCCACGCCCAATTATCAGGGCTGTCAAAGGATGAGATAGGTTGGCTTACAAGGTAGTGAGCTTCCTGTTGCTAGAGGTGTTCAAGGGAAACTTAGAGGCCCTTCTGTCAGGGGGAGTTCCCTGTGCCGTGTAGACAGTCTAAATCAGCACTGTCCAAGACGATGGCCACAAGGCACAAGTGTCTACTGGTGGGCACTTGAAATGTACCTATTTAATTTCAATTAATTTAAATGTAAGTAGGTACAGTTAATTAGTGGCTGCCACCTTTGATAGCACAGGTCTAAATGCCAAGGCCCCTTTAAGTGGTTGAGATGGTGTGAGCCAATCAACTTCACGTGTGGATCCTAGCAGCTGGCACTGACTGAGGTGGACGTCAGGGTGTGATGGGGCATGCCAGGGGTGCCCCCGGGAAGCTGTAAGGAACCAGCTCAAACAAGAATCCCTATTTACTTCACAAACATGTGTGGGGAACTGGGGCTTAATGGTGAAGACAGACAGACATGAGCCCTGCCCTTCCGGAACTTACCACCTCTGTGGGGAGACAGACAAGCGCACAGGCAGCAACAGGGGTGTGGGACCAGGGCTGTGAAGGGGCAAGTGCTAGGGGCTGGGGAGGCAGCCTGGGTGGAGGGGATCAGGGGAGGCTTCCAGGAGGAAGTGACGTCTATGCTGAACAAGAGACAAGTAGAGGGGAGGGTGAGATAAAACAGGCAAGAGAGAAAGAATGCTCAGGCAGAGGAAATAGCCTGAACAATGGCCTGGAACCAGAGAGCGAAACTGCTGATCTGGGAAATGGAAAGAAAGCTCTGGGTGGGGGCAGCACAGTGAGCAAGGAGGGAATGGGGAGCTGAGGCTAGAGGCTGGGCAGGGAAGGACTCCCAGGGCCTCCCGGGCCATGCCGAGGGCAGTGGGAGGCCATGATAGGTGTGTAAGCAGGGGAGTGAGGCGATGAGGTTTGCATTTAGAAAGACCCCTCGGGTGCTGCTGTGGACAGGGAGTGGAGGGCAGCTGGAGGCCTGGACTGGGTGGCGGCAGTGGCACCGGGGAGGATGGCCCCTCACCTGCCTGGTCCTGCTCTCCATACCACGTGTTCCAGTTGCCCACGAGCGAGCATGGGTAGTCCTCATCCAGGTGCAGCTTGGGCAGCACAGCCTCCCTGGGGAGGGGCACAGAGTGGGGGCAGAGCTCACACCAGCCAGCAGGACCCCCGGGATAAGGGCTGCGCCTCTGTCTCGCCATCTCTAAGCTCTGAAGCCTACGTTCCCTGGTTTCTGCAAGGAGCATGGGGAAGAGGGTGTGCCGAGGGGCTACGGGAGCAGAGGGGCTGGGAAGGGCAGGTGGAAGAAGATGCTCACGTCAGGCTGTTGTAGGCATCCAGACACTCGGGCTTCACATTGTGAACTGCAACAGAGGACAGAGAGTGGTGGGTGAAGCAGGTGCTGTGTAGGTCTGCAGAGGGAGAGCGGGGGGAGCCCAGCAGGGCCAGGGGATGTCCCAGACCCTCCAATCTCCCTGCTGGAGTCTCGTCGGCCCCCCAGAGGCCCTGGGAGGGCAAGGCTTGCAGCTCCGCAGCCACTCACACTGGATCTTGTACAGGTTGCTGGTCTCCTTCTTGGACAGCAGGGTCGAGTGGGCATCCTTCCGGGGATCCACCTTGTGGACAAAGAGGGAGCGGAACCAACTACCTTCGTTGTCCTTGGAATAGAAGCTGCAGGACAGAGGACTTTAGGGGGACACGCAGGGGCAGGGGGAGCCCTGGCTCTTCTGTCTGCTCAGCTGCCCTGCTTCCCAAGAGCAGTGACCCATATTTCTAGAAAAGGAGCCACAGAATCCCACGGCAGCTCCAGTGTGGAAATATCACTGGAGCTGACTGGGTAGACCTGGTCCCTTCTAGAGATCCCAGCTGCCCACTAAGGCTTCAAAGCTCTGCAGGGCCTCAGGAGGCCAGGAGAGGCAGCCCCGCCTCCCGTCTCTCTCTGGCCTCCGGGCTTCCACTTCAACCCCTTCCACGGTGTCCTCCACTTGGTTCCCACAACTGCAGCCTCCTGCCAAGAGGATCAACCCCAAACCCACACTGCCTGATGCCCAGAGCCCTGGAAAGCCCTACATGTCATTACTCTTCTCTTCTATACCCCCCACCTGTGTACCCTGCCTTCAGGCCTGCTCCTCCCAGAATACACAGGGCTCTTTTACTCTGGGCTTTCTTTGCAAGTTTTGTTCCGTCTGATGAGAAGGCTGCACTCACCACCCTCCCCGGAGCTTACGCTGCACTTGGACTGTGCTCCTGCCAGCGCCCACAAATGGAAAGACAAAGACAAATAAGCCTTGTCCTTGAGGAGGTCACAGTCCACTGGAAGAAAGGGGCCTTCGGACAGTTTTAGCTGGGAGCATCCGGGAAAGCCCAGGTAAGCAAGGCCCTAACTGCCTGTAGCGGTCTGGGCAGACTCTAAAGACTCGGAGGTGATCTGGCTGAGTCTCCAGGGCTGATTTTGCATTTTCCAGGCAGATAGGAGTGAAAGGCATTGCAAGGAAAGATTCATTCATTCAGACATTTAATTGACAAATATCTGCCCTGAACAGCTCCCTAAGGTGCTGTGAGAATGAATGAGTGAATGAATGAAGGGGGAGCATTTGCTTTGCCCATGAGGACTATATGGTTCAGAGCAGAGGGAACTGCCACCAGGTCCTCCCAGACCCAAAACCACCACCCCTTCAAGGTCCCAGTAGGGGTGGGGCTTATTTTGACACTGCCAGAGGCTGCTCAGTGCAGCTTGCTGCCAGGCCTAAAGAGCAAGTCCCCCTGGAGGGTAGATCCCAGCCAGGGAGCTGGCGGTGGAGGGTCTGGAGGTTGGCAAGTCCCCTCCTTTTTCGAGCCTTTTCTATGGCTAGAATAAATGTTTTACAAATAAAAATATTACTGTTTGCCAAATATGCAGCAGCCGTTGGGACTGATGGAATTTAAAATATCATTTTAAAGTGGTGATACATGAGTTTGCATGAGCATGGAGAAAAGTGAGAACGGATTCATCCCAAACAGTTACTAGTGCTTACCTGGGAGAGGGCAGAGGGAGACTGTTAAAGTTTTCTTTATGCATTATAATTTTTTGTAAAGCTAAAAAAAATTGTTTTATGTGTTTCTGAATTTACAGGCTCTTTCTGACGCCGTGGATATATGTGCTTCATTAACAAAAAGCAAGAAGACAATTTTCATCAGATGGGCGATGTGGTCTGTGAAATTTTGGGACCAAAATAAAGGAGGCTTGCTATAAATAACACTCACTGGTGACCTCCTCTCCAACAGGGACCTGGGATCAACTTTTTAGTAGTATGATCTCTCTGAATCTATGCAATGATCTTATAGTGTCGATACTATCATATCGCCATTTTCGAGACAAGAAAACTGAGGCTCAGGGAGTTTAAGGAACTTGTTCTAGGTCACATAGCAGATCAAGGGCAGAGCTGAGGCAACAACCAACTCTTTCCTCTAATGTCAGCCCCAACCTCAGAGCAGGCACTGACCTGGGGGACATCAGGCAGACATAGTGAGAAACCAGGTATTTTCTACAAAGCCACTGCCAGCAGGGACCTGACCTTTGGTTCAAATGCAGAGGGGCTGCTTCTCCTGGAGCAGGTGGCAGCAGGGAAAAGAGTAGCTCCCACTATTTGTCAGCCAAGACCTTTGCTCCAGGACAGAACATGGAGTAATTTATTAACGTCCCTACTGACCAAGATAAACAGCCCAGTACCAGCCCTGAAGAGAGAGCCTGGGGGCTGACATGCTGGGGAGTGGAGAAGCCCAAGAGTTCCTATGGGTTCCCACCCCTCCCTACACCTTCCTGCCTCAGTTTCCCCATCTGTCACATGAGCAGCCCATCTCTAGAGTCTTTCTATAGGCAGAATCTAAGAAGGGACTTGTCCAAGATCCCAGGGCAGGGTCTGAACTTGAAGACAGAGCATCCTCAAGCGCACATTTTCAAGAGTTCAAATTTCACTTTCTCGTGAAATCACAACGTCCTCCTACCCTTGAATCCCTCAACTCCTCTCATCCTGCTGTCTATTTTTTGATAGCACACACCCCCTTCTAACACACGACACCATTGTTTTGTTTATGATGTGCCTTGTTTGTTGTCTGCTGTCACACTAGCAGTAGCCCCAGGAGGGCAGGTGTCTTATCTGTTCTGTTTCCTGCCGTGTCCCAGGGCCTGGCACAGTGCCTGGCACAGGTCCTCACTCAATCACTGTTGGCAGAACGAATGGAGAAGTGGTGGTGGAACTAAGACATAGTCACTGAAAATGATGAGAGCTGGAAGCTAAGAAAGGGAAAAAAAGCACAGCCCTCAGCCCAGAGTGTGGACTTGGGGCTCAGGGGCCCTTTCCATCGCCACCACCAGCAGCAGAATCAGTATTTAAAGAGCACAGGCTCTAGACAAACTCGGGTTCTAATCCCAGCTCAGCCACTACACACCGTGTGTCCCTGGATAACTTCATCTATGTGAGCCTCATTTTTCTCATCAGTAAAATAGGTGCAATCGGATGGGCCTTTTAGGCAGTGCTAATACATGGGAACAGCTAATATTGCTATTCCTACCTAACTTTCTAACCGATCTCCAGCTTCCACTGTCTCCCCCCCCCCACTGTCCTAATCTGCCCATCAATCTTTGTAAAGCATTAATTTTGTCATTTCATCCCTCTGCTCAAGAGCCTCCCATGGCTCCCCACTGCCTACAAAACAAAGGCCGAATGCCTCCACTTGGGATTCTGAGCCGTTCCTCATCTAGCTCCAATCTACTCTGCAAGTCAACTCCCTTTTAAATTTGGTGACCACGGAGCCAGGAACCCCCAGCCCAGTGGTTCTCCAACTGAGACATCAGCATCACCTGGGAACTCTGGGGGTGGGGCCAGCAATTGGGGTTTTAACAAGCCCTCCAGAGGATTCTGATGCACAATCAAGTTTGGGAATCACTAATCTAGAGCAGTTCCGATTTCTGTTTTTTTTCCATGTAATCTCAGTACATCACCCCAGAAATGCCAGATTCTGGTATCTAAACTACATTGGGAATGCCTCTTAGGCCAAGACAGGCACAATGCAGCTTTGTCTGCTCCCAATGTCCCAAAAATGTGGACACTGGAGCCTGGCCCAGCCCCTTCCCACAAAACACTTCACCCTTTTCCCCCTCAACCCTTCCATCATTTTCATATGACAGGTCTGGTCTCTCCAACCTCACCAGAAGACTAATGTCTTTCCATCCCTCAGGGTGCCTGGCACAGTGATTTAGGCATAGGAGTTGCTCAATAAACAATCTGTCCCACAATCTAGTCAACTAACATAATACAGTTCTTAAAGTTTGTTCTGCCTCCCAGTATGGTGAGTAGTGTCTAGGGTCTTAAAAACTTACGAATGGCCATCTAAAATACAACCATTGTTCCAAAAACCAAAGAACCAGACTACAGGACTAATTGTCTCTAAGAACCACTGCCTCCTCTACTTTGAAACGAGAAGAACTAGATGGTGCCCGGTTACCACTACCCAACATTCTGATCAGGGACACAACAGATGGATCCTGATAGATAGGGATAAAAGTGTGGAACAAAACTTCAAATTCTTAAAGAATCCAGACTTACTGGACCTATCGAGGCTAGAGGAGTCCCAGAAACACTTCAGACCTTGAATTGAAACTATCCCCTAAAGTCACTTTAAAACTAAGTAAACAGTTTAGCTCAATATCCTTGAGTACTGCATCCTTAAAAAAAAAAAAATTACATAAGACGAAATGGTCAACTGCTATTTTAAAAGCATAGATTAGAAGGTTGGAGGGCAGGGAGTTTAAATTAATGGGAGTGAAACAACTAGAACAGAAATAATGAGAATATTGACACAATGTGAAGAATATAACCACTGTCATTGATCATTATGTCTAGAAACTGTGGAATGGGAGTGGGTTTTGCTGTGTATTATTTTCACTAAAAATAAAATAAAATATTTAAACAAATTTTTTGTCCGAGATGAGAACTTTTCCATCCTTCTTTGGGAACAGTTACTGTTGATAACACATATGCATCTTCGTAAGGATCAAAAGTCTGATGCCTCCACACATCAAACTGCCCGGGAATGTTACAGATTTATTTGGTGGGAAGCTCAGCTCTATGCACATCCTGAAATGCTCTTCTGATTTGAGTCGGCTGACTTCAGAAAAGGGCCATGTTTCTCCTTACTGTTCAAGAGTGTGTTTTTAGCTACAGGAACTCCAAGTTCTGCTATCAACAGGATGACTGGTGTAGCAGTAAGTAGCAGTTAATTACTGATTACTGAGCACTTACTATGTCTTACAAGCTAATCCTCACAACGTTTTTGAGACAAAGGAGGCTCAGAGGTGTTCCATGCCTTATTCAAAGATGGCTAGTCCAAGAGGCTTCCAACCGAGGTTGGTCATTCCAAAGCCCATGTTTGGTCCTCACACCAGCAGCCTTGTTGTCTCCAAATCTCAGAAGCAAGAAGGGCTGCTGCTGGCCTCCCAGTGACTCCAGGGAGATGTGGGGCAGGCTGAGGGTCAGCAGGAGAGAATATTCCCAGGTATCCCATGTGGGACCAAGGTGTAAGTAAATGCACATAGGAAAATGAGAAGCAGTCCTTGAGGGACTTGATAATTATTAATCCAGTACCTTCCCAACAATCTTATAAAGATCACCAACCCACTTTACAGAGAAGGAGACAAAAGCTTCAAGAGGTCCAGTGACTCATCCAGAGTTACAGAGCAAGTATGTGAGGAGCAGCAGCTACCTCTAAGTCCCATGCTCCTTTTGTGAATATTCATCACACAAATGATTTTACCACCATCTGATTCTGTAACACTGGGAAGTGAGGTCCCTTTCCTGGGCCTTGGTTTCTTCATCTGGAAAACAGGGGGCTGAGAAAAGATGATCTCTCCAAGGCCCTTTCAGCCTTGACCTTGTAAGAGGCTCAAGCAGAAATTCCTGGGGACAGAGGTTTGGGCAAGGAGCAACATTTTTTGCATGTTCACCAGGTACTACATACCTCACACACATGGCCTCTTTAATCCTCAGCAACCCTATGAGACAGAGACATACCCTATTTTATCACCCCCATTTTACAGATGAGGAACCTGAGGCTTGAAGAGGCCAAATGACTTGCCCAAGGTCACTACAAAAGGCTGAGTCAGGCTTGCTTGGTGCCAGGCAAACTCCAGGCTCTTTCCCTGATGCCAGCTTTCTCCTCAATTATTGGGCAGATACATGGGGGGCACATGGCAATCTCCTCTTCCCCAGCTGCCCAACAGTCCCACTGCACAGCCATCTAATATCTCTTAGCAAGGCCTAAAAAAACTCTGCAGCCTCACTCCTGGGCTGGTGGGCTGCTTCCCTTCCACAGGTGGGGAAATGGGCATCCTCACGTCTTTGGAAATGTTCTTTGAACATACACTGTCCTGAGCCTTGTGCTGCGGAAACAGAAAAATGAGCTGAAGGTCTAGAGGGGAGACAGGAAAGCCACGGGCAATAAGCGCTCAGGGTGATAAGTGCAGACATGGAGGAAGTGCAGGGCCCTGGAGGTGGAGGAAGGAGGGTCCACCCTGGGCCAAACAAAAGCCCAGATGAAGTGCATGGCCAGCCAGCCTCCCTCTCCCAGGAAGCCACCCAGTTATGGTGCAAAGAGCACAGGGCATCAGGAGACCTGGGTCCCAGACCCGGTGCTGCCACAGGACAGCAGGTGGCGTGACCCTGGACAACTCCCACCTCCCCCTCGGCCTCAGTTGCCCCACCAGTACTGCTCGGGTGGGGGAGTAATGTGCCTGTGTACCCTTGGCCCTTGGGGGTCCCCCATTGCTTCCCCCGAGAACAGATCTTTCCCGAACCCCTAGTGGATGCTATCTCACAGTCCCGGCAAAGTCCTGGGGAGGGGGCTTCTCTTTCATCAGGGACTGCTCTTCCTGCCCGCAGCCTCCTCGCACCCTACAGGACCCGGGGCCTGCCTCTCCCACCACCCTCATCTTCCATTCTCCGCCCAGACCCTGGTCCCCCGGACAAAGACCATGCCCCTATCTTTCCCACCTCCCCCATACTTTGCCCAGACCCCTCCCCAGACCTCGATCCTGCCCCCGCCCCTAGTCCCCGGGTTCCCAGCCGAGGAGTGCCAGTCCCTCCCCGGGACCTAGATCCCTGTCCCGCCCTGCAAGCCCCGCGAGCGCCTCCCCCGGCCCGCCTGACTCTCACCGCGCCGCAGCCGCAGCCGCAGCGTCCCGGGCAAGGGGTCCTGGACACCCCAGCAGCAGCCGCGCCGCCGCAGAGATGCTGCACAGCCGCGGAGCCATGTTGGAGCGGAGCAGGTTGGAGGAAGGCCCCGCCCCCGAAGCCGGCGGAGGAGCCGGGACGTCGACAAGCCCCGCCCCTTCGGCTTACCGCCTCCCTCTGCACAGGGCCTGGTGGGCGTTCCCTTTCTGCGTACCTCAACTCCGCCGATGCTGGGCGGAAGTCGGCGTTCTTGTCTTCTGAGCCTCCGTGACTCTGCCGTGGATTCGCTCTGTGAACTTGATTGACCAAGCACTTGTCTGCTTTGGGCCTCAGTGCCCACCTCGGTAAAATGGGCACGTTGGATAATACCAGGAGTTCTTAATAGGGTGCTGGGGGATGAGCGACAAAGGGTCTATAAACCAAAACACCAAACCTGTTACGGTCAGTTCGATTCCGACCAATAGCGACCCTAGAGGACCGAGTAGAACTACCCTGTGGGGCAGTTAGAGGGCCAATCTACAGCGACCCTCAGTAAGGCCCTTGGAATTGTATACCAAGCTCTGTGCCCCTGTGTGGTTTTCTGGGGAGGGGTCCACAGGCAGCGTTTATCAAAGGAACAAATCCCGCAATAATTTAAGAAAGGCTAGGCAAGGCTCTGGGCCCCACGGGCGCTCTCTCTCCACCGTGCCCTTTTCCTGTTACATTTCTCTCAGCCATCTGGCCTAGGCCACTTGGGGCCACATGCCCTCCGCCTGCCCTGCCCAGCTCTTTTGCCTGTTGCCAGAACGAATCTATCTCAGCCCACAAGCCCCCAGACCACAGAGCTCTGCAGGGGCAGAGAGCCTGCAGACCCCACACCTGGGGGCGAAGGGCCTCATTGCTTCCAGAGGGGCAGGTTGCATGCACAAGCCCCATGAGAATGCCCACCTGCTTACTGGGTGGACAGGCTTGTATTCCCTGATTTGTTCAACAAATATTGACAGTCAACCTGGCCAGATCCTGGGCTAGGCTGTGAGACACCAACCCAAACCCAAACCTATTGCCCTCGAGTCGATTCTGACTCAGAGAGACCCTATAGGACAGAGTAGAACTGCCCCATGGGGTTTCCAAGGAGCGGCTGGGGGATTCCAACTGCTGACCTTTTGGTTAGCAGCTGAGCTCTTAACCACTGTGCCACCAGGGGTCTGTGAGGCACAAAAGGTGGGCAGAAAAAGCTCTTGGCCTTCTTGGGGCTTCAGGCCTGGTGGGCAGACAAAAACGAACAAACTCATTGCCGTGGAGTTGATTTCCAACGCATAGCAACCCTACAGAGTCAAATCATTGCTGACTGTGATCCCTCCAGAGCAGAGGCAGAGCAGAGGCCTTAGCCTCCTGCCTGAGCCTGAAGAGTTATAATATTGCTGGAGGGCGAGTCCTTTATAAATTGAGGAAATAATCTGTACGGAAATGTGAGGTTTGAACCATTAAATTTTTTGTGTGTTTTCTAAAGTTGTGACAATGAACATGTAGTATTTCTAAAGTTGCTACCAAAAAAGTGGTATTTGTGTGGTTTATTTAAAAAGAAAACCGTAGATCATCATGATAAATAGAAAAACAATCAATTGTCATAAATGGGCAGTGTCAGTAAAATAAATGCAGTGAAAATACAGTGTCTCTGCTGCGTTATACTTAGGGCTCTGAACTGGGGCCTGCTCTCTGTGTTAACAAAGATAAGCCAGTAGAGGGGGTTAGAGACACAACTGGGCCTGCGCTTAGAGTTGCTTCTTGGGCTTATCCGAGGGATCAATAGAGAGGGAGCTCCTCCTTCTGGAAGTCAGTGTGATCTCCACAGGATCCCTACTCAGAACCACTCAGGAAAAGCCTGGATAGGTAGATGGAGTCATGGGAAATGGAGTAACCACTGCTGTCACTGGGTGGGAGCTATCTTTCCCTTTGGAATGGAGTGGGGCAGGCATGGGGAAGTGGAAGTGACCACCCCCACCAGAGCCTGGAAGCAGGTCTGACTTTGGAACTGAGTTTGAAAGGATGAGTAGGAGACTTTGGCAGAAGAAGGGGAAACACCAGGCAGAGGAAGCAATGTGTGAACAGGATGTGGAAAGCTACCAGGAAGACATGAATTAGAACCGGGGGTGAATCAAATCAATGAGTGGGATTATGTGGAGGCAGAATATCACTCGGTACAAGGAATAATTTTCTAACAGTGGAATGCGCTGCCTTGGTGAACTGTTAAACGCCAATAAAGGCTGCATAACAGCTCATTGGCCGTGTGCTCCAGGGCATTTAGCAATCAAGCCCCAGGAAGCCAGACTGGGTTGAAGCCCATGGATGAGGAAGGGTTGGGGAGGAGCTGGCCCAGGGTCTCTCACTTTGGTGTTTCTGGCTGCCTCACCCTTCTCCGCTGGCTGGGAGGATGAGGGAGGGCTGATCTGCAGCTTCTTCCTACTGGTCTTGGCATTTCCAAGGACAGTTTTCCCACTTCCCTCCACCCAAGTGGGGCAAGAGGGTCAAACAAGGTGGATCAGGGTTTTCTATGAGGTTTCAGTCAAGACGGTAATGTTATGGATTGAATTGTGTCCCTCAGAAATATATGTTGTAAATCCTGAGTCAGAATCCACTAAATGGCACAAAACAACAACAGACCTGTGGGAGTAGAGTTTTCTTTGTTATGCTAATGAGGCATATCAGTGTAGGGTATGTTTTAAGCCAATCACTTTTGAGATATGGAAAGAACAGGTTCGGCCCAGAAAGAAGGAAGTACAGATGCCAGGTCACATGAAAATTACCAAGGAACCAAGGAACAGAAGCTGAAAAGAGACAAGGACCTTCCCCCAGAGCCTACAGAGAGAGATCCCCTAGAGCCTGCCCCCTGAATTCGAACTTCTAGCCTCCTAAACTGTGAAAAAATAAATTTCTGCTCTTTAAAGCCACCCACTTACGGTATTTCTGTTATAGCAGCATTAAGAAACTAAGGCAGTCAGCTTGGGCTGTGGTCATTTGAAAACTTCATTGAGGCTGTAGGATTCCTTTCCAAGATGTTTCAGTCACCTGCCTGGCAAGTTAGTGCTGGTTGTTGGCAGGAGGCTTCAGTTCCTTGCCATGTGGCTTCTCTAGAGACCTGCTGGAGTGTTCTCACATGGCAGCTAACTTCCCCCAGAGGGAGTGACTCAAGAGAGTAAGGCAGGATCTTCAATGACTTTTATGACCTGGCCTTAGAAGACACACCCTGTCATTTCTACAGTATGCTGTTGCCTACAAAGTTCAGTGCTATTCAGTGTAGGAAGGTACTGCACTAGGGTGTGAATACCAACTTGTGACAATCATGGGCCCATCCCGGCTACCACAATTAAATTTTGCTCTGTTGTTAGCTGCCATCAAGTTGGCCCCTAACTCATGGTGACCCCATGTGTAACAAAGTAGCATTGCTCCATGGGGTTTTCTTGGCTGTAATCTTTATGGAAAGAACCCTGTGGTGCAGTGGTTAAGCACTTGGCTGCTAACCAAAAGTTTGGTGGTTCCAACCCACTAGCCACTCGATGGGAAAAAGATGTGGCAGTCTACTTCCATAAAGATTACAGCCTTGGAAATCCTATATGGCAGTTGTACTCTGTTTTATAGGGTTGCTAAGAGTCAGAATCGACTCGCCAGCAATGGGTAATCTTTATGGAAGCAGTTTGCCAGGACTTTCTTCTGCAGAACCACTGGGTGGGTTTGAACCACTAACCTTTAGGTTAACAGCCAATCGCAAACCACTTGCACCACGCAGTCTTCTTAACTTTTGCACTAAGCCCAACATAATTATTGGGGTTGGACTCAGCTCTTCAAGCCATTTTCTAAGAGCAGTCCTCCCCCATCCATTGCCCTCTGTCCTAGGATCTCTCCTCTTCCCCTGTTTCCCCTTCATCTCTGTGGTCCCTTCCTGCCCACCACAGAGTCTGTGATATCTCTTTCCCCTAATCCTGTCTCCCGTCCATCCCCTCTCTCTCTGCAGGGAGCTCAGCCATCCCTTTCTCCTCCCTCCCTCCCTCCCTTCCCAAAGCAGCCCTCAAGGAATCCACCTTCATAACTCTTTGCCAAGGCCTGCTGCCCTCAGCAGAATGAAATAAGAGGAGCCAGGGACAAAGACAGATGGGCAGAGCTGGGTGGAGAGGAGCAGGTAGGTTCATAAATGTAAAATATGGACAAACCTGCCATCATCTATTCCCTGGGACAGATAGATCATCACCGAATGGGCTGCAGAAGATCGAAGAGACAAATTACCCAGCTATGGCAGTGTTACCCGCTCTTAACTGATGGGCTTTTATGCTCGGGCCCAACTGCTCTGTGAGAATTGCATCCCTCAGCTCTTATGGAACCCCAAACAGGAGTGACAGGGACAAGAAAGCATTTATGTCACAGCTGGGGCATGAACCAAGCTGCCAAGTCCTGGCCTTTCTATACCATGTATTATATGCAGATAAGAATTATGTAACTTTCACACAGGGCCACATTAAAACATGGACAAAGTGCCACTCTATGTATAAATTGGAAATAATACAAATACCAGGGGGAAATTTTTTAAATCGTTAAGTATTGAAAAATTTCAAAACTGCCGAAGTGGAACAAATTAAAAACTGTATTTTTTGTTATCGCCACAAGGCGGCGCCACTTTAGCCGGGAAACAAATGCCCACGTCACTGTCAGTATCCAGAGACTCGCTCTGTTGGTGTGGTTCGGACTACAGCTTTCTGTGACTATTGACCTATTTTGCCATTCGCGTTGTTACAAACCACTTTAAAAAAAAACTATAATAATATTATTCAAGCATTTATGTAGAGATGCTAGTGTTATAAAACACTCCCTCTAATCAATACCTTTGGAGTGGATATTCCCGTTGCCATCAAATCAATTCTGACTCATAGCGACCCTATAGCAACCCTATAGCAACCCTATAGGACAGAGTAGAACTGCATAGAGTTTCCAAGGAGCAGCTGGTGGATTCGAACGGCTGACCTTTTGGTTGGCAGCAGAGCTCTTAACCACTGAACCACCAGGGCTTCGAAGACGTGGTAAAATGCCATGAAGGCTGAACCACCTCCATGACAGATGGCGCTGTTGATTAGG